ATTATGCGATTGAGAGCGGGAGCCAAAAAAATTGAAATTTCGGGTCCAGACGCCTCTTGCCATTTCTTGGGAAGCAGGGGGCGGGCTCTTCCAAGAAGCGGCGAAAATTGAAGGTCTCATCAGCAGCGTCACGAGCATATGCGTGTCATCGCGATCGGATGCGGCAGCTAGGAGCTAGACAAGTTGCTAGATTTCCCCAGATTGGCTATTCCTGCCTCAAACTGTTTCAGGGCGATTTGATCGCGGGCGGTGAGCTCTGCTGTAGATTCTGCTCCCCGCTGTAGCTCCACAACGAGAGACGCCCACAGGATGACCAGGGTATCGGCTTGTTGTAGCTACGGGCTAGGCCTTCAATTCAAGTCACGCAGCAAGCTCCACCTCTCAGCGGTGGTCCAGCTACAGCGCATCGCGCAATCTCGCTCTCAATCAGAAACTTCGCTCTCAATCACACGAAAACCTTGTTGAAAGTAGTCCCCTCTTCACCCTTATTACAACGAACGAGTGCAGAGTAGTAGTAGTCGGATGCGTCGAAAAACATTTCCTGAAAGACTAGTCCAAGATAATTAGCTAGCGCTGTGTGATACAGCAACACAATTATTCATTCATTTCGACGGTGGTGGCAGACGGCATAATAAACAAAGCGTGTCGACGAAGCCAACCGCGCGCGCATATATCGAGCATTGACGACCAAAACAAGCATTGCCCGAGCACGAGGGACTAAGAAAAGCGTGCAGAACTACGAGCACACGCGAGGAAAATGAGCGTAACCAGCGTGCATAAGTCGCCATTTTGAGCATAGCCAGCGTGCATAAGTCGCCTTTTGAGCTTACGCACGTGCCGAAAAATGTGCATAAAAATGTCAAGAAATAAGCATAACAGGTCAGGGCCGAGGTCAAGNCTACGAGCACACGCGAGGAAAATGAGCGTAACCAGCGTGCATAAGTCGCCATTTTGAGCATAGCCAGCGTGCATAAGTCGCCTTTTGAGCTTACGCACGTGCCGAAAAATGTGCATAAAAATGTCAAGAAATAAGCATAACAGGTCAGGGCCGAGGTCAAGCAAAGCCATGCATATTTCTGCAGGGGGCTCGCTGGTTCGGATGCCCCCCACCCCCTCTTCCCATCCGTCTGGCGAGATTCATAACGGGATCTGAGATGGAGAGCTTCGTTGCACCCTGTATGTAGCTGGTACACACATAGCACTCGTGAATCCCCGTACACACACAAAATCCCAAATTGAGTGGTGTATGCGTTCATTTAGTGTGCCAACGTATCCTGGGCTCGTATATCTACATACCTGTTTTGGAGACGAATTTGTTGCGTTTTTGTTCAGCCGGAAAAAAAAAAAATCAAGTATTGGAGTAAAGTGGGGTATTAAGGGACACCCGCTAGTAAGGGATACTTTTTTCAAATGGACGTATCTGGGCACACAATCCGCGGAGACCCCTGAATTTTTTCGAGGTGATTGCAGCAAGCCGTTAGCTTTCGTTTGCGCACCTCAGCGTGCTCATCGGATCACTCAGTCACGAGATACAGCAAAGTAACTCCCAGCACCGCTGATGCGGTGCATCTTGCCCCTTTTCGGGTCCCTGCTGCTAAGCATTGGCCCGGGCCCATATCGACGCTTCTAGTTTCGAAAGCCTGCGACTCGCTACAGAGCATATATCAACCAGGGCTGCTCCCACAGCCTCTAGGGTGCCCAAGAGCACCTACACACGCGTACGCAGTTGAAGGGGACCGTGGGTGCCAAGGACAAAGGCGAAGTGTCCCTTATTTGGGGCTCGGGGAGTTTTCCGCCGTATTTTCGCTGACAAGTGAGGTGTGCTTCACCGGGTCTATCTCATGCCTAGACTGCGAATCTCCTCACTGTTGCTGTTGAGACGTAGCCTGTGATCAACCGTATTGTGCTATACCTCCACATCCTTGTAAATCGTTCCCATGCCAGAGAACGAGCTGTTTGCGTGGGGGGTGCCTTAGGTGTCCCTTAATCGGTACTTTTACTCTAGACTAGACTAGCCTACCGTAAGAATCGGGGTCTTCGCACGGATCGGCGTCTCCGCACGGGTTGGGGTCATGGCACAGAGGTGCGGAACAAAAACCGGGTTCCACATGATTTAATTCGATTATCGCACAGGGATCGGGGTCTACGCACACTGTGCGGAGACCCCGATCCCAGCAATGAGGTTGGGCGCTTCCAAGAGCGGTGTCCAGTCTTGTTGTGCGCTAAACAAGTAGGGGCGTGTTTGATGAAGAATCAACTTCGGCGCCGTGCGGTGCTCATGTACCTCTGCGCAATAACGTTTTTTGTAATACGGTACCCGCCGGACTTGAAAATATATTCGTTTTTCAGCGTGTGATCATTTTTATTTGTTTTTTCATCGAAACCACCGCACGCAACAAACTACCACCCAGGACTCGTGCGAAAAACCGGCAGAAAGTAGCGATCTCCACAAAAGTATTCTGTAAATCTTTACTGGCACATACATGCTCGTGGACCGCGTTGCAAGTATTGTTCCACGTTCGTATGTAGCACCAAACAAAACCCCCTCTCTAGAAGCCGCTGTCCTCTGCATCACAGAGTTCTAGCGCCAGTCTCCTACGAACATGTTGCAAACCAAACCTCTACTGTACTGGTACTCCCACGTAACGGCGGTATTGCTCGATCCCTTCTTCATCCCCCGCCCCTTCCACGACTTCTACATCGCTGTCGTCATCGTCAATCTTGATGTCGCTGTCGTCACCGCGAGGCAAAAGCCCCGCCTTGAGCTCCTTTGCGGCAGCCTCGATGTGATTGGCGGTTGATTCAGCTGGTACCTTCGGAAGTTGGAGCGGCGGCAGAGTCACGTTGGGGAGTTCCGCGAGCCATTTGACGCGCTGCTGCCCCAGGAGCTTGTTCGTGCGTGGAGGTAGATTAGTCGGATTGTACCAAATCACTGGCGGTTTCGTGTACCGCAGATGGGATTGCCTTGAGGGGCGGCTAGGAGAGACCTTGAGATACGAGTTGCGGGCCCCCTTTTCGACTGGCTTTGGGTCTGGCACTCTTCCTCCCTCCTTCTCCCTCATGTCCCCCTACGATAATACATGCCGTTAACAACACTCTTTGTACTATGGAGGTCACACAACAAGGGCATACCAACACTACTCTAGAATGCATCCTCCGGAGGAGCCCGATGATCTTCAGAGTTCAGCTGTGGTGAGAAGCAGCAGCAGGAGCGTTGTGCGTGATCCCGTGGTAAGGACATTACTGAGTGACACGACGCGCAAGTTTTGACTAGGGTTTCGAGTTGAGGCGAGAACCAGGGGTGTAGGAGATGATGGGCAGGCTGCCATCGCTTCTGCAGGCCAAGTCGGGTGGGCGAGGCCAGGATTAGTCGGGCCGTGCTGCGAGAGGCACGGCAGGTGCGGCGGGATTTGTGTGTTCCACCGAGCAGCCACCAAGAGCTGCGTGGTCGTCAGGGAGGGCGACACTGCGGGAGGAGAGAGCAGCAGTAGGCCGGACGTGGATGGCGCCCTGGTGCGGGCTGTTGAGGTCCCTGCTGAAGGTGTGTTTGGTGCATTCCAGTACACCAACTCTCTCCGTCTGTTGTAGAAGTTGTGGCAGAGCTGTTGCACAGCAGAGTTGCTACCGCTGGGGGCACTAGCGAAAGTGTCCCAGCGACCGACTTATCCACTCAGGAGGGGTCGGACGAAGTTAGGCGGCGCCAAGAGGATGCTGTCGACGGTGGGGATGCTGTGTAGTGCATGTCCACCAGGAGTCCCAACGGGGGCTCCATAGAGCGGGAGCACGGAGGCTGCCGCTCGCCCGCAGGTGCGGGTCGTGGGAGCAGAGGAGAGTATCCGCTACTCCCGAGCCGGTTGCTATATCGGTTTGTCCCCATTAAAAGGGCGTGTAGGAGGGGGCACGCGGAGGCGGTGGAGTTCTGCCGCCTGCACCCCAGCAGCATGGAAGGAACACAAGACCGGGAGATGGCCTGGAGGTATACAACACCAATGTCTGCTGGGGCGGGTCTGGAGACAAGGCCGGAGCGGGAATGCCCGCGGGTTGTACCCGCAAGGTATGTGGCCCGCGAACACGGGTGGAGAACACTCGTGTACACTTGAGAGTAGTGTGTGCTCTCTTGTGTTTATCCCCATTAAGGAGCGTGTAGGAGGGGGCACGCGAACCCAACCCGTCGTGTGTGCGGGGAAGGGTACCAGAAAAATCTTGCTGGCCCCGATGGATATGCGGGGAGAGAAGTGCTTCCTGGCCCCGATGGATAGGCGGGGTATCACGGGAGTTGTGTGAGAAGTGCTGGAGTATTTGGCCACACCCAGCAGCACGGCAGTGGCCGTGGCTGCCTTCTACCAAGAGCGGGAAGGGGGCAGCGAACATCAAGGCGCGTGGGGTACCGCGTGCACTCTACATCATCAGCTGGCGGGGCCCGGAAATACGTAGCTGTGGGATGGTGGAGTTCAAAGACACGAGAAAGCCGTCGTGTGCCTGTCTGCTACACCGCTACACCGAGGAACGTCGGGACGCCGAGGGACGTCGGGTGTGGGCGGGTGGGGAGGGAAGCAAAACGGACCAGCCGCGCGGTGGATTTCCGCGGGCACTATCTTCATTTTGGTTGGTACCGGAATGTGTTTTATTTTGTTTTTTTTTCTGATTCTTTTGTATGTGGCGTTAGCAGTAACGGGCGATAACTTGTATTGCACGTGAAAAGTCGTAAGTGAGGCGCTGTTGCGGACTTGCATAGATCGCTGTTAATCGCTTGTTGAAATCCATGGGTGTTTCCGCCGCCACATGCTCGAGTTTCAGGCGTCACCGCTTGTTGTGTGTTCCCTGTGTGGCCTGTGTGGTTGCAGAATAAGGGAGGGTGGCGCCGTGCGTGGGTTTTTTGTTTTGGAGAGTGTATTGCTCGGAGAGTTTTGCGCCCGNNNNGGTTTTTTTGTTTTGGAGAGTGTAATGCTCGGAGAGTTTTGCGCCCGGTCTGCAGATATTCTGCAACGTGACAGAGTTATGGTCGTCCTCTCATGATTGAGGTGGAACTATTTCGATCTTGCAGTTACTGGATAACGGAGGGCGTTGCCTCTTGGGTGCTGTTGGACTCTCTTTACGGGAGGAGTTTGGTCATGTTTCCACGATGTTGCATGTACCATGTGTCTGATTTGTTGATTGAATGCTGGACGATCGCCACGTGTATGTGCTTCTAGGCAACCAAGTGACTGAGTAGTCTGGTGAATAAGACCATGTAACGAGTAAGGATACGCCGGGAGTTCGAATCTCACCAGGCGTCGCCTTTGTTCAAGGAATGAAGAAAGGAAAGCGCCTTTCCGAGAAGGGGAAAGCGACGCGCGTTGTTTGGCACACTAGAGAGGGCGTATGAAGTCGTCCCCAACTACTAGGCATGTGTTGCGTAAGGAAGGGCATACGGCGTGTAGACTATCAGTGTTATTCGAGGAGCGGACAATGGATATCAGGTGCATTGTAGGTGGCTATTTTGGCCAAGTTTGTCGTACGACCTCACCAGAAGGGTAGGGGCGTGCTTGATGATTTGTTTTTGTGCTGCGCAGGGAGGACCTTGTCGAGTCAGCCGAGCGTGGCGTAGAGAGCGAGCCGGGGGCGGTGGTAGATATTGTCTTGCCTTGATGTTGCAGTACGGCCGTTGGAATCTTTCATGATATGAACGGCGTGAAGGCGTTGAAATTTGTAAGGGGTTTTGATCCGATGGCGGGTTTCCCCTTGTTTCGAATTTGCGTTGTTTAAGGTGCTTTTCGGATGTACTCTTCGACGCACGAGTGGTGGTTATTCACTGGCGTAAAGAACCAAGGGAGGGTGTTCGTGCGTGGAGGTAGATTAGTCGGATTGTACCAAATCACTGGCGGTTTCGTGTACCGCAGATGGGATTGCCTTGAGGGGCGGCTAGGAGAGACCTTGAGATACGAGTTGCGGGCCCCCTTTTCGACTGGCTTTGGGTCTGGCACTCTTCCTCCCTCCTTCTCCCTCATGTCCCCCTACGATAATACATGCCGTTAACAACACTCTTTGTACTATGGAGGTCACACAACAAGGGCATACCAACAGAGCTCGCGGTAGCCGTCCCCGGAGTTGTGCAGGCACCAGGCGTGGTCTTTGCTGCCGTCGGGCGCGAGCGTGAGGCCGCAGATCTTGAAGCAAGTCTTGACTGTCTCGGGGGTGATGGATGCCCACGCGTTCTTGCACCAAGTAGCGACGGCCCCACGCCCCGGCGGTGCCAGCTTGCCCGTCTTGGGGTCCCTGGCCGCCTTTGCCGTGTGTGCCGTGTACATGCCCCGCAGCAGCCGCTTCATCTGCTTGTTGAGCATGCGATCCAGCGGTTGGAGGAGGGGAGTNAAAAACAGAAACAGCAGCAACAGACGAAAAATGCACGCGTCTACCAAGGCTATTACCTAGTACTCGAGTTCGTTCAGGAGTACTTTCACCAGTGTCCTCCTTGTATTCGCTACCATCATTCTGATCCTCATTTTGACAAGAAGAATCTCTGGGCAGTTCTTCCCTAGCCC